AGTTGGCCACATTGGAACAAATTTTCGGAAAAAAAATAAATTAAGGTTCCAGGGCAATGAAAATGTCGTTCCATTTCATTATTTCCCACTCCAAACGAAACAACTTCAGAAAGAGCAATAATGTTATCATAATTAAACAACTTGCACTTCAGTAAATGGAGGAATGCAGACCAACATACATACCGAGATATGAATTACAGATAATCTACGAGACGTCAAATCAAACCACAAATTCAAACAATATTATCAGCACTAATTAATGCGGTCAAAGGAAGTCAAAGGCCTGAAATGTCAGGCGCTTACAAACGACCACAGCGGGCAAAACGTCAGTTTTTTGCTAAAACTAAACACCAAACAACGAAATGCATTTACAAAACCACAAAGCCAGCTAAATAAGCGTGTAAAAACAACAAAAAGTTCGAAAAGCAAAGTGACAAACAGTGAGCTGTGATTAATGACGGCATAAACAACAGAAAAAACATGTAAATGCAACGATTGCCAACAGCTGATAAGGTGAGTGCCTAAACCGCAACATTCGAGTGTATACAACGCCATACATACATATTACAATATATATAACGCTTTACTTTTATTAATTTTAGCGCATTAATTTTTATTTATGCCAACATATTCGCAGATCAAATCACCAGCATTTGCTTTGCGCGACGAAAATAGCGAAAATAGTAAAAAAAAGGAAACTAACACAAGCTGGAAAGACAACTCACGCAGCGATAAAGAAGACTGGCTGGCATACACAGTGGAAAGCAAAACCAGTTGCACTGCAAATAAATAAAAAAAATATGAAACATGAAGGAGATGAATAAAAGCAAAGACGACTAGCATTTCAAATAAAAATGCGAAAGAGAAGACAAAAAACGATTGATAAAATTAACCGCTTTGCGCTGAAAATGCCACACAATAAATGGTGCACAGAAATCGACCGAGAAAAATTTGTGCCAACCAAATATGGACATCGAATAATAGTGAACGCGACAAAGTACTAGACGAAAAAGGTAAAAGGAAAGGATTGGAGATTGAAAAAAACTTAAGCAATAAAAAGAAAACATTTAAAAAAAAATTACGAATTAAAAAGAAAAAACTTAACTACCAACTTGGAGCAGCAATCCACAGGAGAGAAGCAACAGCGAGTAAGACAATTGAAATGGGCGTGGTGGTGAGCTCGAGATCGTAGAGACTTTTATGGAGTGACAGCATGACAGACGGTGATATCAAAGTGAAGCAGTTTGGGTGGAGTGCAAAAGAACAGAAACTACCACCTAACCAAACTTATAAAAGCCAAGTAGGAGCAAATATTGCGGGTTAAACAAGAGCGCTGGAACAAAGTTGGAAAACCATTTCCAACCATTATAAATTAAAAAAAAAAACGGATTAAGAGCACAACTGCATTCTACTTCAACCAGTAGTCGAATTCATTGTGTGAATGTCATTTGACAGTTCTTGAGTAGGAGTTTGGGGTTAACAGTTCTGCAGTCCTCAAAGTCGAATGCAGCTACGAAAAAACTTGCCATTTCTAAGCCGAGGGAAGGAAAACCCAAGCAAACAATAAATGAACTGAGCTATATAACAGTGTTTTAAAGCTGGATTATAAGCTGAAAGGACAATTACGAGCAAACCAACCAGCAATCGAATTTGTTATAGGGTTCTGGAGTTGTGCTTTATGAGGGATTGCGACTGTTCCACAGTTTAAAAGGCAAAAACCCGAAAAACCTTACTTGAAAACTACGCGATTTGAGGACGAAGAATATAATCAGACCTCCGAGTAGTTTCTTCAGATCTTGGAATACTTTCTTCGACCAAAAGTAGAACCGCTTGTAACCTCACTTACTGCATACTACCATGCAAAGGGTCACAGGTTTGATTCCTGCTCAAACCAACATCCAAACTTACAGAAAACTTCTCAAATTAACTTTCCAAATGTTGGTCGCCCATCTGCAGGTAAAGTCAACGCTTCTGAGTATATTTCTCAGAAGAAAAAAAAAGCGCCACATAAATATCCATCAACCATTCCGAGGCGAAACTGTAGGTTTCTACACTAATTGGAGGAGGAGCTCGACCGACCGACCGAATCGATGCAGCGGTTATAAAACACCAAATTATATAAAATTACACATAAATATAAGTGGACTCTCGAGGAATAAAATAGGAATAGTGTCTAGGAAATGGCAGTAAAATCCAACCAATTACTTTTTCAAATAAGAGAAGCTACGTGAAGTAATGCTTCTTCCGACTACACAAGACAAGCACGAGCGCGGAACCAATACATTATTATTATTGTAATACATTGTAGCCGACGCAGCAGAGCACTTGTTGAACCCACAACGACCCACACCACTCCACTACACTGAATATTGGATTGGCTTGGCGTTTTTTTTTTCCATTACTTTTTATTTTCCCACTTTTATTTGTAGTTTTACGTGTCGAGACTATTAATAATTGCCCAAACGCTCGATTGGACAAAACGCATTTGCGCTTGAATGGCTCGATGGTTAGTTGGTTGCTTGACTGGCTTACCGGTTAGCTGGCCAAGTTCGTACTTTCGGCGTCGACTGAATGGATGAATGAATATAGAGGACTTTTGTAGTTATGTACAATACAATATGTTCGAGTAGATACTACGTCAAAAGCACAACGATAGCAGAGATACGACAGACGTGTACTAGAAAACACAATAATAATGCTGGTAATGGTAGTTATTTCGCACACTTCACTGGACTGACTGTCCGGCTGAACGACATTTGCTCGACCGACCGACCAAACGACCAACTAACTGTATGTCCGACTGAATAGTTAAGTGGTTACTTTGCTATCAACGACAGCGTCAATGGAGCATTGTTGTTGTAGATGGAAATGCTCACACTTATACACAGATTAACACTGCTAGCCTGCTATCCAGCTAGCCAGCCAACCAGCGAGGCCTCTTCAAAGTCATTATGGCAAGTGGGGTGATGTGTCGACATTCATACGTCGTAAAGCGTCTCTGTCGCTGCTAGTTCAATGGCCAGCGATTTATAATACTCTAAGTTATATACTTTGTTATTGTTAATACTTTTGTTAGTAAGCGATTTGAGTTATTGCGCATTTGGTTTTAAAGTACGCTGAAGTTTCATAGTGAAGGGATTTACTTTGACACTTGTGGAATCTCAGTAGTGATTAACGGTGATTGGCTGATTTCTAGTGGTTTTATTTACATGAAAATAAGTCCGGAAATAAAGAAGGAAGTTGGCACTCGATGTGGAAGTGTGATTAGGTAGTAAGTTTTGCTCAATTAAATATGGGTTTAGGTCGTACAGGTAATCTATACGACCAGTGCCAACGTTTTCGATATGGAATACTCAATTTTTCGAGAACCTGCAGAGCTCGAAAGAGAATGTAAAACTTTCGTTAGCCAAAACACAGGCGTTGGATCTGCCTCCTCCAAAATGGACAAGGAAGCGAGGAGAATGGGTCTGAACGGCAAAATATTTGCTTTCTCCTTTCAACAATGAAACATACCGTACATTTGCCAACCGACTTCGACGGCACTGATGACAGCCGTAACTTCGAAGCTGTAAGCCAATAACATTGACAGTCCGGAAAGCCAACGCCAAATCACTCTTGCCAACAGTTGCGACTTTGGACTAAAAAGGCAATTGAAAAGAAAATGCCTTCTACCGACAAACAAATATCAAACTCTACAAGTCGTACATAATTTCCATCTGGCTACACATACGGTGCTACGGAAATTTTCGAGAAAAAGATTTGGATAAGATTTATGATCCTCTGCTTATTAGCAAAGGCGAAACACCGCAGACGAGGGAACAATGAACTATAGTCGCTGTATGCTGGCAAGGTCAAAGTGCCCGAATGATGAGAGCACTCCAGCATTCATTCAATGCAGTATCGGTCAATGGAAACAGAAAGACGCCAAACGGCAACCAAGAAGAAAAAATTGTATGCGAAAGCTAAGCTTTTATACTGTGGATTTCTTGATCGGCGTCAAGTAAACACAACCTTTGTCTACCGAATCCAAAGCCTATTCGTCTGCCGAAGTAGTATTACTTCGTATTTTTGCTTTACTTCCTTGAATGGAGCTGATAGGTTCATAATTAACTCCCTAAGAGCAATATAAATGTAATATATTTACGAAAGAAATCTACTCATAAATTCGGGCTTTTTTCAACTTAGTATAATCCATCTTTTGTCTGTTTATTATCTCCCTTTTGAGAGAGCTTTTTCTGCGATTTTTGCTGTGCCACTGAATATTTTTTCGGCAAATGGAAAATTTTCAGCAAGGGATGATTTAAGCTACAAAGTAGCGAAGATACCGTCAGAGAGAAAGAGCAATTGTTCGGGACAACTATAACCAGTAGTAAATAGCGGTATAAAGCTTTTCTAAAATGGATAATGGGAAAAGTGTATGAGTATTCGAAGAAGAATTACATTTAAATTACATTAGTAAAACAACAACTGGTAGACTGACTTCAAGCATACATTTTTCTCGACTCCGGACAAATAAAATACTTCGGATATCACACTGAAATTTACAGTCTCAGTTTTAGCCTCAGAAGAATGTTATTATATTAGAGAATTGCATTTTTTTTTTAAAAAAGTAGCCAAGAACGCAGATCTTTTGAGACTTTCAGAGCAAGGGCGATCTTTTGGCCGAGTAACTCAGTTAACCTTCAGGAGATTTTATTACTTCATTATTTTTCAACAGTTTAAAGCCGCCTCCAAAGAGGTGCTGCTTATTTTGAGAATTTTTTTTTTCAAAAATGTGTCGGAGAACGTGACTTTCCCTGTCGAGCTCGTTAATTTAGTTCGTTTTTCTTTGGAATGTAGCCAAGATGGAGGAATACTATACAACAGTTTCTGCATAAATTTGATTAATGACAGTTCTGGTAACGCACACTCTCAATTTCAGTTAAAAAAATATTCGAATTGAATTTTTTTTTCTCATTTTTCAAACACTTTTTATTATTATAATTGCCACAATAACTCACCTTTTCGTTCGCTCCTCCAAGACGTTCCCTTCTCTACGCGATATACTCGTATGTAGATATTCGTAGTAACACTTTAGGCGAAAATCTCGAACAATTTGCATACATTAAACTCATATCCATTAAAAAAACTTTTGGCATTAAATCCATGAAGAGTATCACATTGCAGGAGAGTGCTGAAATGAAAAGGAAAAGAAAAGAAATGAATATAAAATACTATAAAATCATTTAAATGCCAAAACGAGTTTCGAATTACACACAAAAAATACAGCTTAAATTTATATTGAATGAGTGTACTATAGAAAGAATGTACATATGTATGAATGTGCATAGAGCTTGCTTATAAGTACGAAAGAATGAATGACTCGGAGTGTGCGCGCGTATGAGTAAGTGCTTTTACAGAAACTTAATTTCGAATGCCTTAACATATGTACACGTATATATTGTATGTGTGTATGTATGTGTGACGGCTAAGGAAAGGTAAAAACGCTGCGCATTGATGGTACACAAGAATGCCAAAGGATAATAGCAACAGCGGAACAATATGATGAAAAGTAGACGAATTTGTAGAAACGTAAAGTGCGCTCCACTCTATACGCTGTGTTGATGGCAGAAGACGAGGGAGCATACTCAAGTGCGTACATACATATGTAGATGGAATAAATGTAACATCTACAAAGATATATAAATGAACATACATGAGTATATATAAAGAATAGAAGTATTCAGTATCATACTTAACTACTTGCTTGTATGAGCTTGTAAGCAGTCAAGTAGATAGTAGGAAAATGTAAAAAAATGCATGAAAATTTGTAAATCTTAACTTCACATACCGAGCACTTAAAAGTGAACAAACGACGCACACGAAAAATGTTGAGCTCGAGACTCGAGTGGGGAAACAAGCGTTGTTAGAAAAGCACGGCACTCCACTTGCAGGCCCGGTTGACTGCGAGTGAAACTCTTGCTGATTTGATAAATTTATTTCACGTTCTATTTATTTTTCGAGCAACGCTAGAGATGGAGGGGAGCGTAAAAGAGGAGATACGAAGTGAAAAGAAGAGGGGAGGAGAAGCAATGAAAAATAATAAACGCTATATTGCGTAGTGCTCGCAACAAATACACATATTGTATATAGGGTTATCCATTTCGGGGTTCAAACTGCCAAGCCAAACTTAATTTGTTTTAGCAATAAAAATAGTCATCCAAACTTGGCCACTTCGTGCTTCAGAAGGAAATCATTGGCCACATAATCGTCCAAATAACCAAGCGATTGTTCGAATTCTAAAGAAATCCGACTAAGAGACTGGTTCGGCTATATATATTGTAAGGTCTGTACATCTTCGTTTTGCTCGTTTCACTTCACATATCGCAACGGCAAGTGAAAGTATAGCCGAACACCCGGTGTTTTCTAAATATTTCCCGACGTTCTCTAGAGTACGGCACCTTATGGTGTATATCGTCAACTCGGAACGGTACGGTCGTTTGATATCCAAGTTTTTCGGCCTGCAATTGATAAACACGACTCTGACAATATGGGGTTTCGAAAGGAAGCGGCCAAATGTTACACCATATGAGCGAATAAGGCTTTTTTGGTAGAGAATTTTCCAAGCTGCTTAATCTCTTACCTTGTCGATGCCATTTGGTCACCGAGATATTGTTTATGTGGATAAACTTTCAACTCTTGATCACTGGAGAACCAAAATTCCTGAAATTATGACCAAAAAGTTATATCCCAAAGCAGAAATTCGAGAGACGGTCATTTAAATGATATGATGTTTCACATATAATGCCAAGGTCCAAACTTTATAATACAAAGAGAATTTTATGAAAAATAATCATGTTCACTTCATTTTAATAACGTTTATCTTCGAAACGCAGCTGCGATAGTCAAGTATTGGCATTGGGAAGTCTTACGGAACCCCAGGGTTCCAGTACTGATTCGATCAACATACAAAATCATAGAAAATAGATTTTTCTAGTTGCGACCGTCGCGCGGCAGGGAACGACAAGACTTCCGTGTGTATTTCTGCTTTGAAATGAAAACTCCTCCTTAAAATCTATCGGCGGTTCAAAGGAGACTCGGATTGAAATTTAGGCTTCTTCATTTGTTGGACACCATCAAGATGCAGACCACATTTTGGTGGAGGAGCTCGCCCGGAAATCGCTTCAGCGCTTATAAAGTGCCAATTATCTATACATATATTTTTGAAACCCCAAAATGGAAGAGCCTTCTTTAGAAATGAATAGATATGAAAAGACACAAAGTATCTAACAGAAAAAAATTATAAGTGAATTTTATAAAAAAGAAATAAAAATAAAAAGAGGAAACATCACACACCAAAAGGGTAATAGGATTTTCAAGCTACAGCAAATAAAGCTTCTCGCTTTCAACACGCCAAAAAAAAAACAAAAAAAAAACAAAAAAATCAAAACAGAAAAACACGAAAAACACGAAAAACCTGAAAAAAGGAGTTCCCAAATGCAACACAGAGTTCCGTGCTGAAAGATGATGAAAAAAAGAGAGTTAGACATCAGAAGAGCGCACATGTTTCACAAATAAAATTGCTCAAGGACAAGAAGAACTGTGCAGGGAAGAGTAAGGAATGTGAGCATCTAGTGCATAAGTTTTAAGGTCTAAGAGCATGAACGCACAGCACGTACTACAAACCGAAGCGGGGTAACACACCAGGAAGGCGTGTAAACAGACAAAAAAATCGTTGCGAAAGAGCAGACGGGGCTAAAAGAGCATATGCGTATAGAAAAGCAGAAAATAAAAAGGAAAGAAACAGAAAACAAAATTCAAAATTAAAGGAAATAAAAAGAAACAACCATAAAGAAGGAAAAGTGCACTACGAAAGTAAGAATGAAGAAAATAAACAAAAATAAAGAAAATGAAAAGTAAAAACACACACGTGAAAAACGATAAAAGTAAGTAGAAGAAAACAGAAATAAATAGAAAAAAATTATCAGAAACGTGTGGCAAGACTCAAAAACAGCGAGCATTGCGCACAGTGGCGAACAAAGGCAAAGGATTAGAAGTGCAGCGGCAGTCAAGTAGAAAAAAAATTCTGAAACAGCAGTGTCAAAACTGTAGCGAAAAGCCGACAAAATTCACATAAAGAAAAGAGCATTGAAAGCAATGCTGCACTACGCCAGAGTACATACATACATACGTAAGTACGTTTGTATATCTCAAAGACTTTTGCAAATAACGGCAATTCAACGCGGCATGCGAGGAAATATGCACAACTGAAAATAAGTGTAGCATTTGTGGTGAAAATTTAAAAGAAATAAAAAGAAAAGAAACACTGAATTTCAAAGTTTTACAGTTAGATTGCTAAAAATGGCAAATAGAAGACAGAAAGACGAAACGAAAGTACACAAATGTTGGAATGAACTTTTCAAAAAGTATTTCTATTATAACGTACAAAACGTGAATTTGACAAACTCTACCAACAACACAAAAAGAAAGAAGAAGTTGGTGCAACGTGTCTCTGGAACCCTCACTGGTGCCAGGTGTAAGAGTGCTAGCAACCGACAGACAGGTAGTCCGTCCAACGTATGTTCTACGCAGGTGGGTGGGTGCAGCAGCCAACTTAGTGGATTGCCAGCAAAGTAAGTAGTAGTTTTTATTAGTGCATGTGCAACTCTCGAAAGCACTCGGAAAGTATGGAAAACAAGCACAAAGATACGCCATTGTTTGCAAGTAGATTACAACACAAAAATATTCCAGCGACTGTATGCAACTAATGAAGCGTACGATTAGAGAGATAAACGGACATAATACGGTGGCGGGCGGTGGCAAGAGCGGTATGGAGATTCTTTCAAGTAGTTAAGGGCGAATAGAAAACTTGTAATCTTGAATTGATGCAAAATATGTATGAAGATAGTAAGAAGAGTAAGATTAGGAAGAAGAAACTAAGAAATCTTCAAATTTTATAACTCGCCTTCAGACAAAGCTTTAGTCGACGTTCTTGGTTGAAAGTCTCTTAAAGCCTCAAAAAAGTCGACAGTCTGCTATTTATATCGGAACGACTCTGATTTTCATCCGGCCTGTCACTACCAAAACATTTGCAAAGATCGCTTTATTAATTTCTTTAAAAACTTTCAGCTGTCCCACGCCAAGTTCGGTTTTCTCACTCCGTGTGAGAGTTGTGATGGGTTTGAATCCCAAGGTCGCACTAGGCAAGGTGCTCCTTATAAAACCTCTCCGCCGCTGGGAGGCAGCTTACTTATAAGTGAACTGTAGAACCACCACTTGTTAAAAAAAAAAAACCTAACATTATTGAGAGAAGAGTCTAGTCGAAATTCGCTCCGACCTTTGCAAAAATATATCAAAAAAAAATGCCGAAGGACACAAACGCCTCACCCCTTCATTTTCCGCATTACAAAAACCTTTCAGAAACACATTTTGGTTCCCAAACTCAAGCAAAACAAATCGCGCAGTTTCTTAATGATTTATTTTCTTCATTTGCTGATTTATACAAAACGATAGAAATACCGGAAATTAGTTGTCATTTTTTTATTTTTCATTCGTGCAACCAAATGGAAGGAAGGAAGCATCACGACAAACGCTCCTCGACACATGTGCTTGCCCAATGAGGAGAATTCGTAGGAGTCTTTGCCGGAAAATGCTAAATAAATCATAGTAGAGAAGCAAGCAGCTGTAGAGGTAGTAGAGTAATGTATAAAGGACATTTGACAAGGAAGAGCAACACTAAAGAGATGCTGGGCAATATTTATTTCTGAAATGTCTAAAAATGAGTGCAAAATGAAGTCGGCGTGCAAATAAAGTAGGTATGATGAACAGCTGAGCTATTTTATTTAACCTACAGAATTTACACAACCAAGAGAATTCAACATTAAATTGATGAAGAATTACGTAGCATTTGACAGTTGGGGCCAATGAAAGAACGGCAGAAGGAAGAGCTTCGCAAGCGCTTTGTGATGGAATCAAGGTTTGTTTGTGCGCCGTAATTCAATTACTTATGTGTGAATTATATAATATGTGGAAGGTCGGCTGTCGTAGCAGCAGGAGGTGGTGTCCTTTGTAAGCCCTAGCTAAAGCTTTTAAGTGAAAATGGCTGATAAGCATTAGCCAAACATTTCAATAAAATTCTCCCTTTTCTCCACTTTTTTTTTACTATCCAAGCGCATTGAATTAATCAAGTATAAA